GAGTGCTGAGGCCGGGGGGGGGGTGGGGCCCTGGGTGCCATCACCATGGAAACACCAGGAGATGCAGGGCCCGCCACGATGCCAGGCGCCTGGAAAATTCAAGCTACAAACAAAAATACCCAGATCTAGCCTGCTCTCTGGGCAGGAGAGGGAAGAGCACATTCTGAATTAAAAGGAAGAGAGAAACATGGGCCACTGACGCCCACCTCCCTGGCCCCATCACCCTCGTCCAAAGGCACACGCAGGCAGGGGAGTGAATCATTGCCCATTTCTCTGACAGGGACTTCTCCAGGACGGCAGCTCATTCCCAGCAAAGAGTCCATTAGTGGTAACTGGGGTGGGGGGGAGGGTATGGTGAGGCTTTTATTCTGGAGTGGCAAGCTCAACCCACACCCCCTCCCCTGGCTCAGGAGCATGAGTGATTCTGAACCGCTCAAGGCTGCCACAGAAGGAGCATCAGATTTCATGTCAAAGGACTGAGGTTCAAATCCCAGCTCTGGCTCTTCTAAGCAGCGTGACTTTGGACATGTCCCTTTACTGAGGCCTCTGGGTCTCACTTCCTCATGTGTTTCAATTCAAAAGACATGAGACACTGGGAATGAGACAAACAAAACAGGGATTCTACTGGAGGGTGGGGTAAGGTGGTACAAATACTCAAGACACTTAGCTGGTAATCTGAGGAGGGGGCAAGCATGGACCCCTGGAACAGACTGGGGAAGGATTTGCAGAAGACATGGCCCCTGAGCTAATCCTTGGAGGAGAAATGGGGATTCTGAAAGACGTGGAGATGAAGAGGAGGAGCGTTGTAGGCTGGGGGGATACTGGAGGGGGAGACAGAGCCTCCAGCTGCTTCAGGAGCGCCACGAAACAAGGATGGAAAAGCAGTCTGGAGGCAGACTTGGACGCCGGGCAGCTGATCCGGTCAGACCTGGGATTTAGAAAAATTGCATTTGAACCAGGAGAGACCGGAGGTGGTGAGACCAGTTTTATGGTGGCTACAATAGTCCAGGCAGTCTAAGTGATGAGGTCCTGGAGTGCTGCTGTGGGTGTGTGAATGGAGAAAAGGGGACACACACAAGAAATGTTGGGAAGGTCTGGATGAGAGAGGAGGACACTGAGGTCGTGAGCTCGGGGTGTGGCGAGGATGGGGGGTACCCTCCACTGAAATGGAGAACTTTGCAGAAGGAAAAGGGTGGGTTCCGTCTGGGGTCTGTTGAGCTAGAGATGCCTACAGGACATTCTCTGTGGGGCTGTTTTTGGAGCTGGGAGAAACCCAGCCAGGCTGGTCGGAGGAAAGCCCTCAGAAGCTGGAGTCAGGGGACCTGGGCCCCACTTCTAATTCAATTCATAGTAGCTACAAGTCCCTTACACCTGTCTGAGCCTCCATTTTCTAATTTCTAAGAGACAGGATAATTGCAACAGCTACCTCTCCAGGGGATGGTGTGGAAAGCACAATAAAAACAGGAGTTCCTCTCATCCAGCCCAGAGGATGAAATGGAGGCCCCCAGAGACTAAGTCCTTCCTAGCAGATCACAGAGCTAACGGTTCTCCAAGTGCAATGCTCTTTCTGCTGTGTCATTTGCATGGGCTACTGATTAGGGGGCAGAGGCTTATCAGGGAAGGCTTCCAGAGGAGGGGCCGTGAGAATCAAGCTTCAAAGGTGGGGGCTGGGGTGGGAATGGGGGTAGGGAGAGCAGCAGTGTCTGCTAGGGGGGAGGCATCAGGGGCTCTGGGCTCAGTCCTAGCTCTACCTGGGTAACCCTGAGCAAGTCAGCTCACCTTCAGTGAAATGAAGGTGCCTCAGCCACTTCTAAACCTGTGCTTCCATGATTCTTCCCCAAGTCTGGCTCTTCATCTACAAAGTCAGGGAGTTGGGCTGCCTGATTTCTAGGGTCCTGGCAACTCTGCCAATCTAAAAACTCCAGGACTGGAGGCTAGAAAATGGAAAGAGAAATCCCACCTACCCACCCTGGTTTCTATTAATTAGTCAGGTCCTAGAAAGGGGGTGGGAATGAGGAGGAACCTTTTCTGGGAGGAAAAAATCACTCCCCAAGGCAGCTGAAATTTCTCTCCAAACTTCAAAGGACAATAAATTATTCAGGCTGCTCAGGACCCAGTGCCTGGGCTTCCTCTGAAGGCCTGATTTCACGCTGCCTGCCGACTCCATCAACACAATCAGAGACGTTTCTGCCCAGTGAGGTACCCAGCCTGGGGCTGAGACCCCTGGCCCAGCATGATCTCCTTCCCTCTCTCCTGCTCTCCCCTCCCCCAACAAAGCCAACATCCCTCAGAGGAAATTGAGACACTGAGAGAAACTGCCCTCCTTCCCTGCTCCCTCCCTCCTGTACACTAGGGCTATGCTGATCTCCAGGAGAACAGCCCTATCCTGTCCCTCTGCCCCCTTCCTTTGGACCAGGGTCTTTGTACCGCCTCTGCTACCACTACCACTACTACTGCCACTGCCACTGCCACTACCACTACCAGTGTCACTACTGCCACGGCTACTGCCACCGCCGCCACCACCACCACCACCACCACCACCACCACTACCACTGCCACCGCTGCTACTGCCACTGCCACTACTACTGCCACTACCACTTCCACTACCAGTGTTGCTGCCACCACTGCCACCACCACTACTACCACCTAAATAACCAGGATACAACGATCCTCTGCATTTTGGTATTTACAAAGCTCTTTCCTCAGAGAAGCCCCAGTGGGGAGGGAATATGCTTGTCAGGAGGCTCGTCCTTTGAAAGATGAGGAATCTAAGACCCACAGAGGTGAGATGGGTTGTCCAGGACCACACAGCCAGTAACTGTCAAAGTCAGGGTCAGAACGCAGGTTTCCTAACATCTGGAACTTTCCCTAAAGGCCTTCCCCAGCCTTCCTCAGCAGGGGCCGGGAGGGAGAAGAGAAAGGACATTTCCTAGACCCTATGGGCATTAAGAAAGCTCTCGCCTAGGAGCTACAGCTGCCTGGTTCTATTCCCTGCTCTTCCACTGACTAGCTTTGTGACCTTGGGTCCCTCCTCTCTCCTCTTAGAGATTCAGGTTTTCCCACATGCAAAGTGAAGGGGGTGGACTCTGGGATCTCCAAAGGACTATCTGGCATTGACAATATCTATGTTTAAGTACCGAAAGATCATTATTTTTCATTTTGGTGGCCCTGTGATCGTACTGCTAAGAGCACTTGCTTGGCTGGTGTAGACAGCAACATCTCATTTTGGCCATTCCCTTCCAGGGGTCCTTCCCAGAAGATTTCACCAGTGCCTAGGAGGGCTTCCTCTGGGCATCTGAGTGCTTCATGGGCAGTGTGCTGTCTACTGGGGCTTGGCCCTGGCCTCTGTGGCCAGCCCACCCCTTTTTCCCAGTCACATTTCGCCAATGCCAATGCACATGCCAGTTACCCGCTAACACCACAGCCAACTTGTACCTACCATATACGTGGTTGTTATCAATAATAACTAAATTGGGGCAGTAGAAGAAGATAAAGGGGGAAAGAAAGGATGAAAAGGAAGCAGGGAATTTCAATGCTAGAAGGGAGCTCAGAGAGCAGCCAGTCCAGACCTTATCTGAATAGTTAAAATGGTCCTCTGGCCTTCCCCTGAAGGCCCTCTAGTGTGGAGGTAACACATTAATCACAGCAAACACGTACATAGCCTCACCTCAGTGGATCCCCACCGAAGGAGGCATCAGGGAACAAGGGCTAGATTTGAAGCCAGAGAACGTGGGTCTGAATACTACCTTTATGACTCCTTAACTGTGTGGCCCCTAGCTAGGCCTCAGTATCCTTGTCTGTAAAATGAGAAGTTTGGGATTTGATGACCCCTCTGATCTTATGGACAACTTTGTAAAGCAGGTAATTAAGCTACTATTCTTACTCCTACTCCTACCACTACCACTACTACTACCACCACTACCACTACTACTACCACTACTATCACCACTACCACTACTATTACTATAACTAACAATAATAATACCTGGCATTTATGTAGCACCTTAAGGTTTGCAAAGTATGTATTATAGATATTATCTCATTTGAGGCTCACAATAACCCTGAAAGGTAGGGGCTATTATTCTCCCCATTTTACAGATGAGAAACTGAGGCCATGAAAAGTTAAAGGACTTGCCTAGGGTCACACAGCTAAGTGTCTGAAGCAGGATTTGAATTCAGGTTTTCCTGAGATTTCCACTCAAGTGTGATACCTTTCTATCCTGAGCCTTGCAGAGAATCTAAACTCCTCAAGGGCAGGACTTATTTCATTTTTGTCTCAGTACCTCTGGGGCCTGGTAGACATTAGATAGTTAATAAATGCTTGTTGAACTGAGGCTAAGGGCTGAAAGGAAGCCCAGAGGGTATCCTGTTCAAACCATATCTGAAAAGGAATCTCTCTGTAATATCTACCCCAGCCCCACCTCCCCAAGACCTCCAGTGAAACAACCCAATGCTTCCATCTGGTGAGCTGTTGACCGAGCGTCCCAGACCTCCCCTAGCTTTCGTCTCCAAAGCTTCCCATTACCTAAGGCTCCACTGCTAAGGCTCTGCTCTTGTCCTATCAGGTGTGAGGGAACTTGGGAAAAAGGGGGGATGTAAGACCCTGCAGTGGAAATGGACAGAAGGAGAGGGAGGGAGAGAGAGACAGAGAGAGAGAGACACACACAGAGACAGAGAGAGAGACAGACAGAGACAGACAGAGAGAGAGAGATGAGGCAGAAAAGGAAAAGGGGGAAGAGCATTGAAGAGAAAAAGGGGAGAAAGACAGAGAGAAAAGGAGAGAGGAGACAGAGGAAGAGATAAAGGGGAGAGCCAGGAAGAGAAAGGAATGAAAGGAGAGGAAAGAGAAGCATGGAGCCCAGATCCCCTCAAAAACGGGCTGTCTCCCTGGTCTAGTCTAGGTGAAAAGTCAAGCCCTCACCCCAAATCCAGGCATGGATGCCCACATAGATACCATCACATTTCCCAGTGTATGCACAATGGGCCCAGAAGCCTCTTACCTTCAGCCAGACAGCCCAGAAGCAGGGCCATGAGGAGACCCAAGGGGCTGATGACCAAGGACATGCCAGGACAATGGGTGGGCCTCATCCTTGGCAGCAAGCTCTGACCTCCAACTTGAGAGGCGATGGCCCCTTCAGCCCCTATGCTGCAAGACCCTGAGCCGACCTTCAGACGGGGCAGCGTCTGCAAAAACAAACAGTATGATAGGGGTCAGAAGAAGGAAAGAATGTGGGAGAATGGGGAAGGATTCATGGCCTCAAACCCAGTGTACGTCCAATCCTGTGCTAGGGCCCGTGGGGGAAGAGAGCGAGAGAAGACTTGACCTCCACCCTCCCGGAGCTCTAGATGGATGGGGAGAAGGGATTGGTAAACACACTGTGAGCTGCTTCTGACTCTTCCCTCTCCCCCCATGCAATCAGCTGCCAAACCCTGCTGACCCACACCCTGCTTAGATTTTGGAAGGTCCGAGGATCACAGATTTAGAGCTCTGAAGGGACCTCAGAAGTTACTGACTCCAACCCCATCATTTACAAAGGAAAAAAACAGGCCAAGCAAGGGACATGAAATGACCCATCTCAGGTCACAAAGGGAGTAAAGGACTCTGCCCTCAGACTTGAAACTTCAAACTGGCCATCCTTTCCCCTGCACCCATGCTGCTCGTGCAAGGAGGACTGGAAAAGAGATCAGACATGAGAAGGGCAGTGAGGGGCTTACTGCAATAGGTGGGGCAGGAAGGGATAAAGTCTGGGCAAAGGTAGGTGAATCTCAATCAATCTCTCTCTCTCTCTCTCTCTCTCTCTCTCTCACTGTCTTCTCACACACACACACACACACACACACACACACACACACACACACACACACACACACGTATCTGGGCCTACAACCCTGGACGGAAGGACTTCCCTTCAGGAAACTACCCCCAAGGCTCTGGGGCTTGGTCCAGACCACAGGGTAGGGCACCCAGGGCAGGGCAGGGTAAAGTAGAATCTCAAAGAGTACTTCCCAAAGCCAAAAAAGTAAATTTGACTGGGTGAGGACCCGAAGAGTGGTGGTCTGGTGGCAGGGAAGCCACACCCTATCTCCTACCACCAATCTGCCGAGTTGGGAGTCTGGATTGAGATCCAAGGATGCAGAAACCCCAACTCAGAGACCCACCCAAGCCCCAGGGTCAGGGAAGGGGCCAGCCTTTGGTCTCACTCCCCCATCCCCAGCCTGCATCCCAGGGGGATGTGGACGTGTCCTACACTGAGCTGGGAACAGCCTCCTCACTCCGGAACACAATTCCCAGCTATCTGTTTGTGCCGAGGAGGCCAAGGTCATGGCCCTGAGCTCCATGGGAGTCTGATAAGTCCACTCTGTTCCTTGACATGGTGTGGAGTGAGGGAAACAGCATGGTTCGACAGACAACAGCTTGCCTCACTGCAGCCTGAGCCCAGATCCCAGCCCTAGCCCCCACCCTGTCCCTGGACCCTAGCTGGCCTTGGTACCTGGGAGGGCCGGGTTTTAAGTGTCAGTGGCTCAACTCAGCCCATTACCAAGCTTCCTACTGCCCATTCTCTCTCACACTGAGCCTGCTGACTGAGGGGCTGGGGTGTACACTGTCACTTTCTCTATGGAGAATAGTCCACAACTAGACACAACACATAACAGTTGCCAAAGGATGCCACACAGATGCTCAGACAGATGGATAGAGAGGCTGGGCCCAGAGCAGGTGGAGCCCATGGGGTGTGGGAGTGAGGCTGCCGGCTGCTCACCTAATAGCCCCTGCCCTGAACAACAGTATGTACCCAACCCCTATTGGGGGGCCCGCTTTGTGCTCAGACAGGCAGGGAGCAGACCAGGTCCCTGCCCTCAGGAACTCCCCATCTGGCTGGAGAGACAAGGTTTGCCCAGGAAACTCATAGAGAACCATTTAAGATAGGATCAAACTGAGTGCTGGGCTGTGGTGCAGACTTAGGTCCCCAAAGCTGGGGCAGGCTCCAGGCACTCAGTTTGGATGATGGAAATGGGTTTGGCCCTTGGCCCGAGCCACTGGACACTGCCAGTTTACCTTGCCCTACGTATGACACCCCCTCCACCCCCTCGATACGGGCAGGCCCTCGGGCTGCCTCTTCCTTTCTCCATCTATACTCTGTCCATTGCTGATCTCATCTGTTGCCATAGCTTCCACTCACACGTCTACATGGCTGACTCCTAATTCTAAACCTCTAGGGCAGACCTCTCACCTAAGTGCCAGACCCAGGTTCAGAATCCCAGAATCCTGATATGGAGAGGGGCCCCAAAGACCATCGGGCTCAACTCATAGTGTACACAGGAAGCCCCTCGAGAACCTCCCCCAACAAGTGGTCATGCAGCCTTCCCTTGCAGACCCTTGGGGAGGAGCGGCTGTCTGCTTTCTGAGGAAGCCTAAATCACCTTTCAGCAGCTTCAACTGTTAGGAAGTTTTTCTCAATGCCAAGACAAAATCATCCTCTGCTGCCTTCTACCCTCCGTTCTTCATTCTGTCCTCTGGCCCCAAAGAGAACAAACCCATTTTTTATTGACAACCCTTCAAATAACTGGACTACCATGCACCCCTCCCACTCCACCCAGTTTTCTCTTCACCAGGTAAAACAACCCCCATCATTTTAACTGGTCCTCAAATGGCATGGCCTTTAATAAATTCTGCCATCTTGGGCTCCCTCCTCTGGCTGTGTTCCAGTTCGCCAACGCTCTCTCTCCTAGAAAGTGGTTCCAGAATGGAACCCAAGTATTCCAGATGCCATCTGCACAGGATGGAGGGAGGACAAAGCAGGCTGACCTCCCAGGTTCTGGGCCTTCTCCTATAATGGTTCTCTTGGCCATAGTGACACACCGCTGATTTATGCTGAGCTTTAAGTCCATTAAAAATTCCCAAGCTTTTTCCTCACCAATTATTGCCTAAACATGAGTCCCCCACCCATGGTATGCTTATGCAATTATTTTCAAACCAAGTTTAGGATTTTATATTTATCTCTATTAAAGGTCATCTTTAATTAGACTTCTTCCAGACGGTTAAGATTTTTTTCAGATGCTGATTCTGTCAACCAATGTATTAGCTATTTGCCCCAGCTTCATGTCCTCTCCAAATCTGATGAGCATGTCATCTGATTTCACCCAGGTTAAGAACAAAAATACCGAACAGAATGGGACCAAGGATCGATTCCTGGGGTACTCCATTACAGACCACTACCCACTTTTACATTGGTCCATTACTCACTATTGTCACTTAGTTCTTCAATTTGTTCTGAATCCACTCAACCGTACCCTCTACCCAACCCATACCTTGTTTGCAAGGAGATTGTGAAGGTCCGTCAACCCTCACATCCTGGGCTTCCATACCAGTAATCCATAAACTTTAAAAAAAAAAATCTCAGTAACTGTATTTTAATACAATTTCATTTTATTTTATGTGCTTAACACATCATCCTGAGAAAGGGGTCCTTTGGCCTCACCAGACTGACAATGCCAAATGGGTGCACGACACCACAAAGATTAAGAAGCCTTGGCTTAAACCTAAGTGTACTGTCTATGGGGTGACCTTGTGCCAACAACCCACCTCTCAACAAGAAATAAAAAGGAAGAAGAGGTTGGCCTGGCAAGACCTGTCCTTAATGAACCGATGCTGGTTCTTAGCGATTGACTCTTCTGGAGGCATACAATCTCTACCTTTAATAAGACAAGTTTTAGAATTTTCCCAGATGCTTTCTAAAGGTGGGAAGAGGAAACATTAAACTCACCGGTCTGTATTTTGGAAAGTACACCTTTTACCTACTTAATGGATTTTTGTTTCCTGTAAATGGGTGAGCAGCTCTGATAGATGAGGTACTCTCACGGATGACCAAGTCACTAAGTGAGTGGGAAGGTGGGATGGGCATGCCTGGATCCACTTCATAACCAATTCACCTCAGAAAGCCCATCAGCCCACTCGTGAACCGGCCTCTCTCCACCTACCCTCTGGATTTCAGTTCCAAAATTAAACTGGTTTCGGATTTTGGTTCAGTAGTGATGCATCACAGCTGGGCAGGGCCCAGCAATGCTTTATTTTTCTCCCCTAAATCATGGGGTGATTAACCCAATGAGAAGGCTTTGGGGGGGCAGCTGGAAATGAACAGGAACAAAAAGGCAACCTTGTCTAAAAAAACCAAAATAGGCTAATTATAATTCAGGACAGGTGGAGAACTAAACAGAGAAGAATTATACAGCAGAAAAGGACCTCAGATGATCAAACACAGAATATCAGATCTGTGAAGGCCCCAAGAACACAGAATTTCAGAGCTGGGATGGCCCTTAGAATATGGAATTTCAGAAGGGCAGCTGGGTGGTGTAGTGGATAGAGCACTGGCCCTGGAGTCAGGAGGACCTGAGTTCAAATCCAGCCTCAGATACATAACACTCACTAGCTGTGTGATTCTGGGCAAGTCACTTAACCCCAATCACCTCACCAAAAACAAAAACGGCATTTCAGTGCTGGGATGGCCCTTAGAACATGGAATTTAGGTCTGGGATGGCCCTTAGAACATGAAATTTCAGAGCTGGGAAGGATTATAGACCATCTAGCTCAAACCTCTCATTTTACAGAGAGGGAAACTGAAGCTTAGAGAGAGGAAGTATCTCACCCTAAGACATGCAAGAAGTGAGGAATGCGGTCAAGACTAGAATCTAGGTCTCCTGATTAATAGGGAACTCACCCTAGCACACCACAACCATCTCCCCATCCTTCTCTACCTCCAACCCTCTTCCTGATACCACCACCCCCACCACCCACCCCCAACTCATTTCCTTGCCCAGGGCTGAGCCGCCAGCAGCTATCAGTCAATGACTTGAAGATGATGATAAATCCCTGACAGTGAATGGCCTTGCTCCAGCATCTCATTAAGATTTTTGATCCTAGCGTCCCCTTCCCCCCCGCAGCCAGCTGGGTGCCCGATGGGTAGCATCTATGAGCCAGGCCTGGGTACTGGGCCCCAGGCTCCTTGAAGCTGACAGGGGCCCTGGAATTACCAGCATGCCAGCTCATTCCTTTTTCCTCGAGCAAGCAAGCTAGCAACCAGCCAGAGAATATGCATCCCCTTATCTCACCACCCACAGCCATTTGCATAATTTTAATCTTTCTCACCAATGAGCTTGAAAAAATTAGTTTTCCACTGTTTTATCTCCTG